CCTAAAAATTTAATTGCTCATTAAAAATATTTTTTTTTGTATTTTATGAAAAATATTTGAAATTTAACCTAATTTCTAATTAATTTTAGATTAAAGAAAAAAAGTTAAAATTTAATTAAATTAATTTGTAAAAATTAATTTTATTAAGAAAATTCTAAATCCTATTTTTTGTGGTTTTTTTATTTTATGAAAAATATTTGAATAAATAGAAAATATAAACTAATTAATAAAAGAAACAATTAAATAAAATAAATGAAATAAAATAGGCCTGAATGGGGTGAGAAACCCAATTGTAGAGGTAGGTTGTTGAATTTTCGCAAAGCCCAAATCTGATGGGCCATGCTTGCATGAGATCCAGTGAGAGGCATGCTTGGGAAGTCCACCATGGGGAAGCGTCACTGGGCATTAGATCTGGTACTGGATGGATCCAAAGGTGATGAGAATGGGACACATGGTACGCGCGTTTGGAGTGGAACCAATGAATCTGCAAGAAATATTCAGAAAAATAATATGCAAGAGGCAGGGATCGAACCCCTGCCCCTGCACACATACAAATTCTTAAGCGCGTTGTCTCTACCGTTGGGACGACTGTACTTCCGTTCATATAATCACGTTAATAAATATATAAAACAAATCCAGTCCTAATGCCGGCTGTGAAAAACACGCGTGCCAAGTGGGTCCCTTCCATTTGAATGGACCAATCGTTTCTTCCCTTTTATCCATGCAAGCGTCAACGCCGGTTAAGCCATCGGGGTTGGTGGCTCTGGTCATCCCTTCCGGTTGGCCCAAACATCAAAACCTACGGAATCTTATGAAAACGAACATGAAAAGAATCCTACTAGCCTAATTGGACCCTTGCAAACATGATGGCATGGTTGGTTTGCTCTAAAAAGGCCTGTATCGTGAGATATGAAGCTTCAAAAGCTCTGTTCCCTAACAATGGCACGAGGTTGTTTCTGCACTAAAGCTTCCATGTAAAATGTTAGAACACTTATAATGATGTATATGAATTATGCTAGCATGCTTACACTGATTGAAATTGCTTTGAAACGTGAAAATCAAAACCTACCACTTACCAACCGGAGCTTGTGCAAAGAGGGGTTTTGGGGTTGATTCACGATGTGTAAGGACTGGTATCAAACCCTAGCAGCTTCAGGAAAGTGATAGGCTCTTTTGTTTTGATCAACAAGAGCTGGAATTGATTCTTTTAACCTTCACGATTCTTGTGAATTTTTGCACTTTGGTATGGTTCTTTTTGTGGCTTTTGCGTGTATCCTTTTGATCTAAGGTTATTGTGCTTATGTAGTGAATCAGAATAGGGTTACAAATGGAGCAAAATATCCATGCCTTGATGAGAAATATTTCCTTTCCAATATTTGATTTTTGGCCTTTTTAGAACAAATCCAATCTTGCCTTTCATTCACGATTTCCTTTTGATTTGCCAGCATGTTTTGTCCATCATTTGATAAGAAAAATATTTACAGTCAAATCTTTTATTATTTTGATTATTTACTTTATTTAATTTTGCATTTTAATGGAAAAAATAGCAAAATAAATGGTATAAATAATAAAATAATGTATGACTGATCTCAAGGGTCGTGGGCCATGTCAAGAACAAGTTTCAATCATGAAAACATGGGCCCATTTGGAAAAAAATTCAAGTTAGGTCAATGTTGGCTTCATGCACTTTTCCAAAAATTGGTCAACTTTAGCAAGGCATATATTTATCAATTTTAACCCTAAAAGGGTGTTTCTTTGAATTTTTAGAGAGCTTAGGATATCCTCTAAACAACCTTTTTGGTTTCATCTCCATTGGATCTTCCAGGTTCATGTAAGAAGTTTTGACCCAAAAGGTGTTTTTGTTGACTTTTTGAAAGGACCTATATTGTGTGAACTTTTATCTTTTGATTGAGGTATTTCTTGAACTTGAGGGCTGAAGAGAAGTTGTAGGGAATTGGATTTTATTCAAAATGAGCCTTGGAGGAAAACTTTCTGATAAAGTATGAGAAAGTTATGCCTGGTCAAAGTTTGGTTGACTTTTTCTATAGAAACCCTAATTTGCCATTTTTTACTTTTGATGAGTTATGAGCATTTCTTGAGGAATCATGATCAACCCTTTATCAAATGATGTATATTACTTCAAAATGTTGATGTTAACAAAAAATCTTGAAGTTTGACTGTATTTGGGCCACAGTTGACTTTTGACCTAGTACAGTTGATTTCCAAGCATTTGAGCAGTTGACTGAGCAAACTTGTTGTTCAAGACATGAAACTTGGTATGGACGATCTTGAGGAGATATTAGAACAATGGAGAACATTTGGCATCCTTTGGACTCATACATCTTGCTTAAAATTGAAACCCTAGTTAAGGTTCATTGTCTTAGGAGGAGAATTTGCCTAGTCAATTCTTAGTCATCCTTGAGCATTTGAGGACCTCTAGAGGCATGTCTTGAGTGAAAATTGGAGGGAAAATTTTGGGGTACAACAGCTTCCACTGTTCAATCTTCTTAAACCTGAGGATGTAGATTGGCTGGTCTGTCTTTCGTGATCTGACGGTGGAAGATGGTTGAACACTAAAGTGCCCAGAAATTTGCACTCGTCTGAAATGGTACTTGACTGTGTAGATCATATCGGGAATGGGCTTATAGATGCCATTTGGAGAAGGTGACAGAAGGTCGTCAGAGATGGGCTTAAAGATGCCATCCAGAGAATATGATGGAGAATCGTCAGAGATGGGCTTAAAGATGCCATCTAGAACAATGTTGATTTCATGAGATATTCCTTTGTGGGAATCCCTATTCCTATTGTTAAGGATGACTTTGTTACGAAATGTTGGTCTCTGTTCGGGAAATAGAGTTTAGGAGCTTCAGTTGTCCATTACTCTTGATTAAAGAGACGGAGGTGAACTGCTATCGGGTCAGGATCCAGGCTTCACAGTGACTTGCTGAGGATAATAAGGCTGACTACTATCTGGTCGTGTTCCAGGCTTCACATCGACTTTCTAGGGAAATGAGATTAAACTGTTATCTGGTTGGAATCCAGGCTTTGCAGTTTTTTTAACAGGAATAGAAATCAAAAAAATCTGAGTGTCGATTTAACTGAACCAGAGAAAGGTCTTTAATTAACTTTGACTAGAATGGAAATCAGAAGAATCTTAGTATCGATTCAACTGAACCAGACAAAAGTCTTAGAATATCTTCAACTGGAATAGAAATCAGAGATATCTTAGTGTCGATCTGACTGAACCAGAGAAGGTCTTTAATTAACTTTGACTGGAATGGAAAACAGAAGAATCTTAGTATCGATTCAATTGAACCAGACAAAAGTCTTGGAATATCTTCAACTAGAATAGAAATCAGAGAGATCTTAGTGTCAATCTGACTGAACCAGAGAAGGTCTTTAATTAACTTTGACTGGAATGGAAATCAGAGGAATCTTAGTATCAATTCAACTGAACCAGACAAAAGTCTTGGAATATCTTTAACTGGAATAGAAATCAGAGAGATCATAGTATCGATCTGACTGAACTAGAGAAGGTCTTTAATTAACTTTGACTGGAATGGAAATCAGAAGAATCTTAGTATCGATTCAATTGAACCAGACAAAAGTCATGGAACATCTTCAACTGGAAATAGAAATCAGAGAGATCTTAGTGTCGATCTGACTGAACCAGAGAAGGTCTTGTGAGGGCATCCGTCTGAGGAAAATCCTGAAATAACCCTTTGTTAGACGTAGCTTTTGAGAAGACTACTAGGTCACATAAGTAATCAGCGGTGTTTGTTGATTTGATCTTTTCCCTGAAAAGGTAAAGAGTTAGTCGTATGAAATGTCATGATGTATAAAATGCATTGTGACGATGTTCTCAAAATAAGTGAGATTGTGATGTATGTGATGCTTATGCACATGCCATGATGTATGAATATGGGATGCTATTTGCGATATTTTTTTTAGTTTGGGAAGGTAAATCCCGGACTGATGCTGAAGAGTATTGAGAAGTCGAGTCCTTCGTTTCTACTGAGGATGATAATTTATTGGGGAGTTATCGCTATAGTATGTAAATATATTGAAATTTGTCTTTTGATGTATATATTTATTTTATTTTTATAAGATTTAATTGAAATAAATTGATAAAGTTTTTCATAATTGTTTAATAAAAAACTATTATTATGTCATATGTCATATAACTAATTTTATAATAATTACATGTCACTTATTATACTAAATGGCAATGCTCTCAAGTATCTTCTATTTTCAAAATTATATATGAATCAAATTAATTAGCTAATGCAAGATATATTCAAAAAGAAAAAAAAAATATTCATCAATAATATAAAACAAGTTTACACAGCTAATTAATAAATGATATATATTCTGTCAAATTACTTTTTTTTTAATTTTAAATTTACATTAATAATTGATAATATAGTAAATTAATAAATTTCAAACAAATAATAATATAAAATTATTTTACGTTAGATTGCACTACCTTCGATATCATTCAAAAATTAATTTAATAAAAAAATGAAATTTAATTATCTAAGTAATTAAGAAACGATATATTTAAGTATCCTTCTCAAAAATAAAAAAAAATAAAACAAAAATGGACGTTTATTCGTTGAGAAGTTCCAAGATTTAAACGTGAAACGACATATCGTACGAGAAATTAAATAGGAGGACAAGACAACCACGGATTATCTTAATAGCACCTCTGTCCAATCCCAAGTCGACAGCAAACTAGCATAAAACCACTCTGGTTTCACAAAACCACCTTTCTAAGTCCGTTTTTCAACTTTCACTTTTTCTTTTTATTTTCGTCCAATATGATAATGCCAACCAAATAATTCCCTCCTTTGTTTTCTTTCTAAGTTTTTTCCAATTTATTACCAATCATGTTCTTCTATTCCACCTCTACTTCACGTACATAACAACATACTTTATATAATTAATTCACTAGAATTATATACATAATATATACAAGTTGAAAGGTGCATCTTTGAGGTATGGGGAGAGGAAGGGTGCAATTGAAGAGAATTGAGAACAAGATCAATAGGCAAGTGACATTTTCAAAGAGAAGATGTGGTTTACTCAAGAAAGCTCATGAGATCTCTGTGCTTTGTGATGCTGAAGTTGCTCTTATTGTCTTCTCCAACAAAGGAAAACTCTATGAATATTCAAGCGACCCCTGGTATTTATAATATTTAATTACCATTTTTTACGTACTATACCTAGATTTACTTTCTATAGCCTTTCTTTACTTCTTTCTATCATTTTTACTATATATGTATACTGTGTTTCTGCTTTTCTTTTCTTCTTTTCTTAACTACCTAACTAATGATTTATGATTTCATTCATCTAACGGATCTACTTAAATTAGGTTTTCCTCATCATCTTCTTCATGATCCATGTTTTATAATTTTAGGAGATGAAACTTTTACTATAATTTTAACCAATTTTTTTTATTTATATCTATTATCATCTTTTATTGTTTTTTCTATAAGGTTGTAAAAAATTCTTGAAATAATAACTAAGAAATTAATTTTATTAGCTATTTAGGTCAAGTAGTCAATTAAATTATTAAATACAGTCACAGTAATTTGCATATTCAATATTCAATGAATACAATGACTTTTTATTCAATCCTAATTACTATTAATTATGATTGATATGATAATGGAATAATTCAATCTTCTCATAGTTATATATATATATATATATATATATATATATATATATATATATATATATATATATATATATATATATATATATATATATATATATATATATATATATATATATATATATAGTTTGTTGGGAATTCCTTAATGATAGGGATGTATTACATGGGATCTACAGTGATGATCATCTTTTAAGTAGAGATTTGTATTCATCCACAGTCTTCCTAGTAGGAGAGTGACCTAATTAGTGTTTCAAAACACTAATAATTGAGTCAGAATTTCAATAGTGAAAATAAATAATACTATGAATTAAGTAAAATCTCTTTATGATCAACACCTTTAAACAAATATATTTATGTCGGACAATAGCATCAACACTTATAATTATTTTTAATTTATTAATTTTCAAATTATTATCGATATTAATGTTTTAGTGTCCACACAATTTATAAATTCAACCCTAAGCCACTATTTTGTATTATTATTATTTATTATTATTATTCGTTCTGCATAAGTTATATAATATCTGCAGTTGATGTGAAATATTTAGTAAGCATGATAAGAGATAAAGTGGTAATTTGGTGTAGGGGCCGTTGCATGGCCAAATAAAGCATTGTTGATTTCGCTATTTGAGAGCAGCACAATGATCTGACATATTTTGCTTCAGACATAAATATTAGAAAATAACAGCAAAAGTAAATGACCGATCACTGCCATAATAGTAGTGTCATGCAAATATCATATAATTCCAATTCAATTTAGAAAAGCTAACAGGCCTGTTGTTAGTGCTAGATTGTTACTAGTCAAAATCAAAAATCAGTCACGTTCTTTTATTGCATATACGTGTTTAAGTTTTGTAAAATGGTATTATAGAGAAAGATAGAGTAATGATGGATGTGTAGAGAGACTTTGTTTAAGAGCAGGGGATTATATAGTAGATGAGGGTGGTACTTGTGTGTGTTTTGTCATGGCTGTTTGGAGTCTTTCGTGTTATTTCTTTGGTGTCCCGTTTCTGATATATTATTTTTTTAATATTAGGTTTAGGGTGAGAATTGGATTTTTTAATTGTTGAGAAAACTAAGTTAGATGAAAGTGTTATGAAATAAAGTAGAGGAAAGTTTCATATTGATTACAAAAATGGAGAATGAATATTTTATAAGTGAGATGATTCACCGATTTATCACTTTTAAAGTTTTAAAGTTTTTGGTAAGTATGCGGTGAATCTCTTACAAGGTGTGTTAGTGAGAGACCGACTCCATTATATCAAAAATCCTCCGGGGTGGTGGATAGGAGACATGTTTTGTTGAAAAAGTGTCAATAGCGGAAAGCGTTATAAATAAACTCACATTTGAGAAGAAATATTGAGAAAAACAAATGTAAATTAGAAGTGTTAAGAAATAAAGTGTGGGAAAATTCCACATTAATTAAGAAAATGGAGAATGAACACTTTATAAATAATAGAATTCAAACATCAATTATATTAAAATTTTGGATAAATATATAATAAGTCTCTAGTAAAATTTATTACTCCAAAAAAAAGACTCCAACAAAAATACTTTCTCATGTTAAACTCCTCCATTGATAATCCAACATTAATGATAAAATAAAATATTAAAAATTTTGAGAATAAATAATTTAGTAAAACACAATAAGATGTACTTAATTGAACACACTACAATAAGCAATACAACAAATGCACCAAAATAATTGAAATGTCAAAACAAAACAAATCAAAGAGTAAGTCCAAATAACTAAAACTTTATTTCAATAAGCTAAATATTAGGATCACTAATCAATTCTAAAACAAATACAAAAAATCTCGATCTACTGTTGTTAACGTATAAGATATGATTCTGAAGTCAAAAGAAAGTATATGAGCTCATCATAGATCTAATTAGAAATCACTTTCAAATCAGAAGGAAAAAAAAAATTTCAAGAGAATACTTTCTTTGATGCATTAGCAGTCCAAATTTTGACTTGCGGAACTCTATGTCAAGAAAGTAAGTCATGATTCCAAGGTCACTCATTTCAAATTCTTCCATAAGTTCATCCTTGAACTTAGAAATACTCAACTCATTACTACCCAGGATCAATAAATCATCCACATTTAAGTAAAGTATGATCACATCTTTGCTTGCATCTGTCTTCACATAGACACCATGTTTAGAAACACATTTCTTGAAGTCAATGTTAACTAGGAAACCATCAATGCATTTGTTCCAAGCTCTAGAAGCTTGTTTCAAACCATAAATCACTTTTTTCAATTTGTAAACCCTTTCCTCTTGATTTATCACAACAAAATCAGGGGGCTGTTCTACACAAACTTCCTCCTCAAGTGGACCAGTCAAAAGCGTGGATTTCACATCCATTTAATAAATCGACCAGTTATTGTTATTTGCAATACCAATAACCAGTTGTATGGTTTCTATTATAGCTACAGATGCAAAAACCTCATCAAAGTCTATACCTTCTCTTTGCAAAAATCCCTTCGCAACTAGTCGAACCTTATGCTTGACAATTTTATCTTTGGGATTTTCCTTCACTTTATAGACCCGTCTCACTCCGATTGGCTTCTTTCGTTCCCGTAGATCAACTAACTCCCAAGTATTGTTTTTATCAATCGATTCCAACTCCTCTTTCATCGCACACACCCACTTTGGATCGCTTAATGCCTCTTTCGTGCTAACGGAATCAGATTCGGCCATAAGCGCAAAGTGAATGAGATCACCATCATCATTGATCTCATTATCATGGAATACTTTGCAATCTTGAAGTCTCTAAGGAAAACCTCTTTGCCTATTTGGTCGTCTACTATTGTCTCTGATTTCAACTGGCTGCTTAACTAGACCTGGAGAATTTTGGAAATTCTGATTTTTCATGCTGGAAATCAATTTCTGGATGTCGGAAATCGATTTCAGCTTCTGCAGAAACAATTCCAAGAGCCTCGAGATGAAAAAATTGCAACAGAAATCGATTTCCCTCATCTTGGAAATCGATTTCCACCCTGTCATACCCCGTTTTCTATTGTCAAACAACCTTACCTCATCCACGACCACATCTCGACTTATTATATTCTTCTTTCTTTTCACATTAAACAATTTGTAACCTACGGTAGGATGATAACCAACAAGCAACATTATCTCACCCTTGTCATCTAACTTCTTTCAAAGTTGACCCGAAATATGTCAAAATGCTATCAAACCGAAAAATTTCAAATGATTTAAACTTGGTTTAAATCCAGACCATACCTCTTTTGGAGTTACCTTATCCAAATTCTTTGTAGGGAACCTATTCAACAAATAGGCGGCTGTAGAAATGACTTCTCCCCATAGTTCCTTCGGCAAGCCTTTTCCCTTCAACATGCTATGAACCATGCTCATTATCGAACGATTTTTCCTCTCGGCAACACCATTTTGTTGAGGCGTATAGGGTGGAACACCCTCAGGCACTATACCCTCCCCATCACAATAATTCCCAAACTCATTCGAGGTATACTCACCTCCACCATCTGTTTTAAGAATTTTAATTTTGTGACCACTTTTCCGTTCAACCACGGACTTAAACCTTTTAAACACATAAAATACCTCATCCTCCCTCTTGATTAGGTATGCCCATAGTTTCCTAATAAAATCATCAATAAATATGACAAAGTACTTATTGCCACCATACGAGTCAACTTGAATTGGACCACACACGTCGGAGTACACCACCTCAAGGTGATGTTTGGTCCTATGACCAGCATCCTTGCTGAAAGTACTCTTGGACTTCTTCCCTTGAACACACTTTTCACATGTCTCAACTTAAACATTGATTTTTGGCAACCCAGTTACCATATCATTTCTTTGTAATACATTGAGGTCTCAAAAATTGAGATGTCCAAGACTGTAGTGCCACAACCATTCTTCACGACTTGCCGCTGTAGCAAGACACCCGTGCTCCATCACTTTCAGCTCTATCTTGAAAGTCTGATTGGCAGTCACAGGTGCTCTAAGGACTAAAACCTTATTTCGGTCCAAAACACGCAAAATCTTATTTTCCATGTGAATCATGTAATTCTTCTCAAGTAATTGGCCAATACTCAACATATTACATTTAATTCCAGGAATTTATAGCACATCTTTGATCAAGTAATGACCCTCATCCCTTCTCATGATCAAAACATCACCGATCCCGTTGGCCGCTAAAGTGGTGTCATCTGCGAATTTCACCTTATTCTTCATAGCTTGATTGATTTTGACAAACCAATACTTTCTATCCATCATATATATTAAACAATTGGAATCCAAGTACCACTAATCACTACCTTGGACTCCATATCAAACAGTTACCATTACGTTTTGCTCTGAATGCGTTTCTGCAGCATTTTTTGAGTTGCTGCCACTGCTGTCTAGCAACTTGTAGTTGTTGTCCAGCAGGTATTATTGCCATAATTCTCCTCTATGATCATGACCAAAAGCGTGTTATCATCCTCCACCTTCTGTCGAGCAACCTTAGCCTCATCGCTTTG